TGCTGTGGGATGCACTTTAGTGGAATGAGGACTGTTTGTGTAACTACAGCACAGCTTAGCTGTCAAAACTACTAGTCACATAAATAATCTCAATGCAATTAATTATCCGAACCATAAATCTCTCTACACCCCTCACAGCATGTCCAGCTTTGCAAGGAGTCACATGTCCCCTTCCTAACAGCACCGCCCTCTCCTGACATCAAATCTTCTTGAAATGGCAAGGCACTTACATGTCTAGGTCCCTTTGCTCCTTTCAAAATATTTTCAATAGGCATTATTTTGTTCATGTTTGCAATATCCTTAGAAAAGTATTTATGTGCATATAGACACTTGCAATTTTTCACCAAATCAGCACCATTTCCCCAAATCTTGTATGTAAAATTTAATGTACCCAAACTATTATTGTTTTCCTTTGAAGCTTTTGCCCTTCTCTGAACCATTTTTCTCATGGCTGTCTTATAGCCCTCTCATTTCTTTTTACCTAGCTCCTGATTCGAGTCGGCTTCATGAGATCATGTATTCTTTCCTGCAAAGCTCGTCTGTCCACACTTTTGCTCCTGAGCCTAACTACCTGCACAGCCTTATCCTCTGGCCCTTGCCACCTCTCTTTTCCCCACACCCTTCTAAGGGGAGCTTGCCCACAGATGGTAGAATAACAGTGATCAAAAACACAGCCGCCGGATCCCAACGGATCGGTTTCAAAGCCTGTTCTGATCCAGTCGTTAACTCTGTGCCTCTGTACAGTGGCAACAATTATTCTGGGTTGTTGCAAAGACTCACTGAGTTGCCGAAACCGGTTTGGCTCAGTGGATGGAGCGTCGGCCTGCGGACTGAAGGGTCCCGGGTTCGATTCCGGTCAGGGGCATGTGCCTGGGTTGCGGGCGCGTCCCCAGTGGGGGATGTGCAGGAGGCAGCTGGTCGGTGTTTCTCTCTCGTCGATGTTTCTAGCTCTCTATCTCTCTCCCTTCCTCTCTGTGGAAAATCAATAAAATATATAAAAAAAATAAAATAAAAGATCAATACTTATAAAAAAAAAAAAAAAAAAAAAAAGACTCACTGAGTTAACATGTGAATGCCCTTAAAGTGGTACCTGCCATGTAATAATAAATGTTAGCTATTAGCAATGTGCCTTTAACCGATTGTTTTAATTAACAGCCGACATCATCTCTGATTTCTCATAGTTCTGTGATCTCTGCAGTTAACTATCTATTTCTATTTTAGAAAGAGACACGTAAGACACTGTTCCCAACAGCTTCCTATCATTCCTCTGCTCGGCCCCATGTCTGATTTTTGGCTTGCCCTTTCCAATTTGGACTTAAGCAGGGAGTTAGGCTGAGAAGATAACACCATCTCTACCTTGCAGAGTAAATACGACACAAACCTAATCAGTAGCACAAAACTTATCCCCATCTCAGTTGATGGAAAAGGAATAGCTCTGCCTTCTCTTACAGAATGTGTGCTACAGAAATTGCCAGAGGCTGTAACTTCCAACACCAGGCAATGCAAGGCGAAACACTTGCTGGAGGATATGCATTCCACTTACCTTTTCTAGATGTTCTTCAGTTTCCTTGGATTAAATCATAGTTACATACCTGGCCCACTGTTTAGCCACATGGCACCCATGGGGTTCCCTCTTTAGAGTACCTGCCTCTTGGCCATCCTCCCACAATTCCCTGCTCAAATGGACCCAAGCCTGTGGCCCATGCCTACTCTGGCCTCTGCTGGGTTGTCCTTCAGAGGGGAGCTCACCACTGCTGCAGGTAGCCTCGGGGTGTCTGCTAGGGGTGGGGAAAAACTTGGGATGTGAACTGGGGTGTCCACAGGCATAAGCATGCGCCCTGAGTGTGGGAGGAAGCCAGAGTGGGACCAGGAGTATGGGCTGCGTGCCTGGGATGTTTAACACTTGGCCCAAGTCCCAACAGTGTTAGGGCCGGCCTTTATGGGCCCTCCCCACCACCACCTCAGCTCTTGGACAGACTTGAATTTCCTGGATCCCAATGCTGAGTCGTGGGCACACCATGGAGGCAGTGTCAGAGCCAGCCCTAGACACGCCACATTGGCTCCTGGGGTCCCCACACTTGTCCTCAGGGCGAGGACCAGGGTCTCTATTTCTTCTGAAGGATGCATTTCTCTTCTGATCACTGTAAATGTTGTATCGCCTCTGGCCATGTCTCCGTTCTGGTTTGTTGCTAGGACGTTCCGAGCTCCCTCACAATTTCCCAACCTCATGGCAGGCGTGCTATGCTAACCCCAGGCCTTATCTTGTTTTTCCTGCTCTCATTTTCCCTTTGCTCAAGTACTGCTTACAAAAGCGTGGTGGAGCGTATATATATTTTTGTAAACCACCTGATATCCTGTTTGGACAGGGGGGATAGAAAACAAGAAGAGAAAGGAAGAGAAAAAGATGTCATCAGCCCTGCGATGGCCTGGGAGCCCCCAGCATACACCCTCTTCACTCTCTTCACTCAGTGTTTTCAGAATCAAAAATACCAGTTAGCGGGGCTGTGGGGGCGAGCATGCTCGGCACTGGCTTGGGGACAGAAAAACAAATGCTTTATGTCTGGGTTTCCTGCAAGCTCCTGGACTGTTGCAAATCAGCACACATTAATCTCTCATCTTCCACGTCCCCATGTAGCTCAAGGGTGTCCCAGGGAGCCCAGAGGTCACCCACACTAACCGACATGGCCCCAGCCACGCCCACGTCCCATGGTAGGTCTGTAGCTGGATTCCGGGGCCCTGGTGGCCTCCCCAATACAGTCTATGAATTTGACCCTCAGCTCCGCCATGCAGAGCTCTGCTGGGAATCAGACCTCTGTGGCCTGGACATGCAGTGACAACTCTGAACTGGGACAGTCACCAAAACAAGGTCAAAGGGCCCAGGAAGGGAGGTGGTGTGGGAAGGCCAGGCCAAGCAGCTGCCTCTTAAACATCTCAACACAGACACAGCTGTGAAACAACCACATTTTGCTTTATTAGGCGTTCCATAGTAATATAACACAGAGTTCTTAAGGAATAATAAACACGAGACTTATTTGTTTGTTTTTTAACCATAATTATTTTGTCATTAAGACAGTGGTTACAAAAAAAAAAAAAGGTACTCTTCTGGCTACACACAATGATGAGCTTTAGCACTGAAAGTTCCTCCTCATGGGTCACAATCACAATTCCAAGGATTAAGAACCATCTATTATGAAATCCTACACTGTTTCAGAGCATCAAGTCACTGCAGTTATTTAGATCTGAGACACTGTCAATTTATGTTAGCATTTACACATGACATTCATCTAACAGACACACAAAGCAAGCCAACAGGTACACATGCTTACACAGCCTGCGGGAATCTCCAGGTTTCAAGCGGTTTTAAGGAAACAATCCAAAGAACCAAAATGACCAGGACCTGGTACAGGAAAGACAGGAAGACTCAAGTGAACACTGAAGAGCTGCGAGTGTTTCTTAGAATTGAAACAAAAAATACTTTTTCCAACTGGTTCAAATTTCTTCTAAGTGAAGGTGAGAAAAAAAAGCAAATATATTAAGTTAACCAATTATTCTTTAAAAGTGCAATTTCCTTTTCAAATAACAAATAAACAACAACAGTAATAAAAAATACACCCCAACCATAACCCCAAAGGCAAAATGTGTGGAGAGACAAGTGGAATGACGGGATGACCTATTTTGTGTGTGAAAGCAGCTGGGTTTTATGGAAGCCTGCAGACAGACAGCACTTGGGAGAACCTGTACACACGCTTGGAAGGACATGCAACACAAATCAGCAAAGACAGGGATGGGCACAAAGGCAGCGAGTGAGAGGGTCACTGAGACAGAGGGAAGATGCTGACCCAGGTCACCTTCAGTCTCTACGGGCCTCATGTTCGATGTGTAAGTTTCTCCACAAGCAGCTCTGATGTGACATCACACTCATTAAACAGATGTTTCCTTTTGCAAAGTCAAAGGGGCTTTAAGGCCAATTTCCCAAGAATTTTCAGAGCTTAAAAGGCCTCCCTGTATTGCATGATGTCTTTTAAAATAATGGGACAAGAAAAAAAGATTTTCCCCCAAAGTGAGAAGCCCCATTGTGTTCAGGAACCCCAAGACACTTAGCCAGGAAACAGCAGGCTCTTGGGGCCACTCCCACTAGCTCAACAATGCTGAGCTGGTGGTTGGCCTGAGGGACTGGTTGGCTCACTCGGGTCTGGGGTTCACTTTACAGATTTGATTATGTCTAACCAGGTAGCACTGCCTGGAGGAAAAACTCGCACGTCTGTAGCCTCAACTTCTGCCACATCTCGGCACTGCTTCAGGGTCTATTCTGGGCCCAGGTGTGCCCGTGAGGGTGGGCACCTCGGCCCTTCCCTGCACCTGGGAGGGTCTCAGACCCACATGCATGTCCTCATGGTGATGGGTGGGTAGCACCAGTCTTACAGGGACAGGACAGCAGATTACTACGGTTGTGATGACAAAGCTCACACCCTCCCAGGCAGGTTCTTATGACCACAGTAGAATGGTAGACCTGGTCATTGAAGAGGCAGTGAGGAAGGCGAGAAACCAGTGTCTCAGAGACAAGGGCTGGAAGAAACACAAAGAAAGAGAGAGGCATGAAACGAATTAAAAAGAGAGAGAGAGAGAGAGAGAGAGAGAGAGAGAGAGAGAGAGAGAGAGAGAGAGAGAATGAGAGAGAGAGAGAGAGAGAGAGAGAGAGAGAGAGAGAAGAGGTGAACCGAGGAAAAGATTTAATCTGCAGCAAAATCTAATCCAAAAAAAAAAAAAAAAAAACTGCCCTAAAAGCAGTCAGCCCAGAAGACTACGGAATGGTGATGTGGACATTCTGGAACCTCAGGAGGGACACGACGAGTTTGCCGACCACCCTGAATCAGCGTGATGGTTACATAATTGCATCATTAGGATGTCCAGTTCAAACCCCTTGTATTAGTATTGAATTAGGCTTTCTAATTTAGTATTAAAAAAAAACCTCCCCCCTCCCCCACCCATCCCTTCCCAGCCCCATAACGAAAACATTTTTTTTTTTTTAATTTAAAAAGAAAAAGGCAGCTCTGGGCAATTCACTTTATCTTCCCTCCTAATGAAAAGGAAGATGATAAATACAACAGAGGTTGGAGATGAGAAACACCCTCATGGTGATTTGCTCTGTTTCGCATGTCTGAGTGTTGGATGCAGTCCCCTGTACGGGGTTGGTGGGTAGACGTGGTGTGATGTTTGTAAATGTGTAGAGAAGTGGGTGAGCAAAGTCAGTGACTCCGGGTGAGGGACGGAGTGTGAGGCCCAAGAGGGAGCCCCGTGAACTGGCTGCCCCACAGTAACTATCACAGGCTCTTTAAAAAAAAAAAAAAAAAAAAAAAGGAAGGAAGGAAGTCTCAGAATGTCCTCAGGTGTCCCATCCCCCAACCCCTATCCCCCAGTGGAATGGGCCCTGGATCTAGCCCAGGCTGGTGATGTTGGCACGGCCACCAGGGGGCGCCACGATGCGCTGGGTGGTGCGACGGGGGATGTTGTCGTCAATCTGAGCACCTGGAGAGGAAAGAGGGGTGAGGGTCAAAAGCAGAGTTACAGGAGTTCCTGCTCAAAGGGCCGGACCCATTCTTTGTCCTCTCAACACTCCCTGGAAGTTTAAACTACAAAAAAGTGATGGGCTTAAGGTGGCCAAAGACTCTGATGGTATAAAGCAGTACCTGCAGAAGCCAGTTGGATCCATCACTTGAAAAAGTAAAGCTACATATAAAGGGACACTCCATTCAAGGCTGTCTCCTGCCTCGGTACATCCTGCCCCTATTCTGGTAGTCAGTTGAGTGCAGCTTTTCCGAAGGCACAGCCCCCTGGCGTTACGTTCCCCTAACACTACTCACCTCACTGTCTAATATGATGGTTCCTTATATTAATGGCCTGGTGACATAAGACAGCACAACACCATTAGCTCATTTTAATTTACGACAAAACTAAGGTTCATTATTATTAAATCTTTCGAAAATGGGTAATCTGTATATGGCATATATGGCAATGTTCTAAAAACGAATATATCTGACCCCCCCCCCCCCCAAAAAAAGGATCTAATTAACTGTTTAACACACCATAGAAATCTGGATACATATTTGTGGTTCAGAAGGCTAGAAAAGTGGAAGGGTTCTAGTTATGGGCCAAATGAAGGAGTGGAAGGAAATTTCAAGTGTGGAAGCTCTAAAATCTTGACCCCTTACTCTCATCATCCCTAATATCACATATTTTATTCAAGCAAATAGCTAACAATTCTCAGATGGCTCTATTCTGAGCTCTTTGCATGCACATTAATTCATTTAATCCTCACAACAACTCCATACGGTAGCTACTACTATTATACCCACTGTATAGATGAGGAGACTGAGGCGCAGCTAGAAAGCATCTGGACTACAAAGTTAAGCTGCTGAAACCCCATAAGCTGAACTATACAATATACAGTTGACCCTTGAACAACGCAGGGGGCAGGAGTGCCAACCACCTGTGCAGTCAAAACTCTATGTATAATTCTGACTCCCTCAAAACTTAATTACAATGGGCTCTTCGCATCTGTAGATTCAACCAAATATGGACCAAAAACACTATTTTAGATTTGTATCTGGGAATCTGGGAATGCAAAAATATTGTTTTTGATCCACATCTGGTTGAACTGTATTTATTGGAAAAAATCCACATATAAGTGGACCTGCACAGTTCAAACCCATTGTTCAAGAGTCAATTGTACTGCAGACTAGGGGAGAAGAGAAATCCTGAAATACCACCACATCTTTTTCTAGGATGGCCATAATACAGAGAAAAAAATGTCCTATTAATATACTGGGTATTGCACACAGTGTACACATCATGCCATTATATGTGACACAAACTGATGTCAGGGCTCTGAAACCCACTGGCCACTGGCTGTGAATGACATCTCTGGTGATATCAGTATTTCCCTTTTGGGGAAAATGGGAATACCATTCATTTCTGCTTCTTCTCCTTCTACAAAAGTGATTCCAGACTCACCAGCCCGCTGCAAAACTGGGCCCTCCCCAAACCATAACCATACCAGACAAGCTGAATCCAGACTGGTGCAGGTTCCGGACGGGTGGGGCCTGCTGCTTGGCCGGAGACGTCTTAGCCGACGAGGCTGGAGTGACTGTCTTGGGTGTCACAGACACCTCGCACACAGGCCCATCGTACAGGCCACGGGGAACCCCTCTCAGCTCCGCCAGCTGCAAAACACAGGCCCCGCCCCCCGATTCAGGCGGCATTCGGAGGATGCCTCCCTGGCCACCCTCCCGATGTGGAAGAGGAGAGGCTAGAACAGAGGCCGGTGAGATTTAGAGATGGGGGCGCTCCTTATGGAGGGCAGGGCAGGGACAGATGTCAGCATGGGGCCCGCTCCAGGACTCCAGGCTAGTGATCCTCCTAGGTGGGTCATGGGTAACTGGCTACTGTATAAAAATTAACATTTCTTACCATTTTCCCCAAGGCACTTCCACTTAAACCTACAGAATTTCCAAATATATTGTGAAAGGATCTGTTTTGATGGTCAAGATCTGGCCCAAACTTTCTTTCCAATCTCACTCTCCCTTTAATACCCTTCCAACTCCATTGACCCCAGCCTGACACCTCCCTGCCCAGTGCTGTAGACTACTCTCCATGCCCTGAAGACACCATATATTTTCCGTACTCATAACATTCTCTCTACATATTCCTGTGTCTCCCTTCTTTGACTTGCCAATCTCCCACTTAACCTCCAAGACCCAACTCAGAATGCCCTCTCGCCATGACACTTTCCCCCCTGACTCCACAGCAGTGGCTCCTGCCCTGGAACCCTATCACAGTACATGTCAGTCTCACTTCATTCTGGCTGGCTGTGGACACGGCTGAGTCCTCCGCTGGTATTCTCAAGTCCAGGAATTAAAAAAAGTTTCCTTTTTCTCTGAATCCTTCGTACTCATCTTGATATTCCGACTCAAAGTGCTTAGAAGGGTTTATGAAACTGAATGTAATCAATGACAAAACAATCATATGCTCCAAGCTACTCACCCTGCTCCTTGCCTTGATACGCTTGTAAACAAAATCAGGGAAGGGCTTCCGGGGGATGTAGCGCCCAGAGCCTTCGGTGACATGAAGGGTGCCGTCTTCCAGGACAATCTTCCCCTGGCTGATGACCACCAGCGGAGAGCCACGGCACTCCATGCCTTCAAAGATGTTGTACTCGAGAGCCTGCAGGAAGAGGGCACAGGACACTTAGATACGCCTGCCACCCTGGCTAGATTTCGCCAGGCGGGCAGCACCCACTGCCCTGTATCACATGGACAAAAGAAAGACCCAGAGCTGGAGTCCCTGCCCCACGGACCACACCAGCAGGCATTAATCTCCAAGTCTAGAACATGGAATCATCTCTTCCCACCAGAAAAGCATGAGGACTTATAAATGCTACAAAACATAAGAGAAGGATTCCACGCATTAGCAGCGCCCTTGTTCTCACTAACTGAAGCTCCAATCAGGTTGGAAGCAGAGGCCTTCCGTGACTGAGTTCTAAAGTTAACCTTGAGTGGCCATCCTGGGCTAGGGTTTCCCGCTGGTGAGCCTGGCTCTCCATGCTGTCAGCGATGTGGTGAAGCTGCAGTCCCTAAATGAAAGGACCGGGGTAATTTAAGGGGCTTGCCTTCATGAGATGTTTGAGGTTTAGTTCATTTCCCAAACATGCAGCAATCCAAGCTTTTCAGGGTGAAAGACTGGCGTATCTGTGCGCTCTCTTGGAAAACGGGCTGGAAGCAAGGCAACAGAAATCGGGGGCACTGTGCTCCCCACAAAAACCCACTGTCAGTCTCCTCCCGCAGCTTCAGCTCACCCAGGCCCACCCCGACTCCCGGATGCCTCCTGCTCCTTCCTGCCTGCCCTGTCACAGGCACCAATGCCTGCGCTGAGCCCAGGAATGGAGCATAAATAGGCAGCTCCAACCATACAAAGCTGCTTGGGCTTCTGGGAGAATTCAGACCAGGTTATCAGCACTAAAGGAGTTAGCCTGGGAATGAGCTGTCCTGCTGCAGGTCAGCACCTCTGCTGATAAGCATGGAGAAGCCCCGGCTGGCTCCTTAGCTCACATCCGGTGTCAAAATGCAGTGGCGCTGGCCCGGCCAGTGTGGCTCAGTGGTTGAGCATTGACTCATTAGCCAGGATGTTACTGTTCAATTCCCAATCAGGGCACATGCCCAGGTTGCTGGCTCAATCCGTGGGAGGCAGCTAATCAATGAGTCTCTCATCAGTGATGTTTCGCTCTCTCGTGCGCGCGCACTCTCTCTCTCCCCCTCCCCTTCCTCTCTGAAATCAATAAAAACATTTTTTTTTAAATGCAGCAGTGCTGACTGAGAACAGCAACGATGGAGAGTCAGTACTGCTCTGAGGCTCCGAGCAGTATGGAAGCAACCGAAGGAACGAGGCAGAGAGCATCTCGGAGGAGGGACCCAAGTGTGTCCCCAAGCCTTTCGTTTATTCTAAGACTCTTCCCTGAAGTCAGAATGTGTCTTACAGCAGGTGGACCTGCACAATCAGTTGCTATCAGTGGAGACTGAACCGAGTGCTTCCAGGGGGACCTGGGTTTGCTTTTCCCTCTGGCCTAGAGGACGACCACATGGAATCCACTGGATATTAAATTCCCAGCTTCAGGTTCTTCTGGACCCTACAGGCAGCAGGAACTCAGACCTCCAACTTGCATCAGTACTGGCATTCGGGTCATACTCTCCGAGGAGGCATTTTGCCCTCTCAGTACCCAAAGCCAAAGTCAAGGCTCGCAGGCATTTGCCATCATATCCTGCGAGGCAGATTCCCCTCTCACTTACCCTACACTGAGCACAAGCTGGTCCTTGGTGGCACAGCGTATTTTTATAGGTTCTCCCTCACCTTGACTGTGATGTGGCCCGATGGTGGCACATAAACTAATGGAACATCTGAGCACCGATGGCATTCAGATGTGGTGAGATGCAGAAGCTGTGTGACCATGGGCAGCTCACCCAGCCCTGCCGCTCTCAAAGGCTTGGCAACGAATGCAACACCAAAAGCATCCCACATGCGCAGACCCCTGAGAGGATCCTGTCAGCTCTGAAATGACTTGGAGAGGGTGACATCCTTTAAGGGCTGGATCAAGCTCCCTCTCTGTCTTGTTACTCCACAGCTAACTGTCTATATTCTCACAGACTCCCCTGCGCCCTACTGGAGCAATGGAGACAACCTTGGACTCGGTGCCATCTGCCTTGGGTTCACATCCTGGGCCGCTATTTGCCACTTGTGTGACTTAGGACAAGTCCCTTACACTCCTCTGATCCACAGCTTCCTCGTCTACAAAAGGCCCACTTTGCAGGAATGGTGCTAGGATCACAAGAAATAGAAAAACCAGAGCAGCTAGCATACTACCTGACACAAAGCCGGCATGTAGAGAACATTCCCTCATCCACTGTCTGGTTTTTCATTGCTCTGTCCCAACAAGATCGCAGGCCCTTTAGTGCCAACAACATTGTAAGACACGTGAATTGAGTTTAACTGCATGTGAAGCCTGAGCATAACCCGCTGCAAGAACTTTGGGCCACCTCCCATTCTGAGAAGATGGAGGAGCCAGCCCCACGACCCTAAGTGACTAAAAAATCAACAAGTCAGTGGTCAGATCACAGTCCTCTGGGTGTTCAGAGCCCACCCTCTGTCAAACCATGAGGCAGTCTGGCTTGATCTCTCCCCAGTGTAGATGTGTTTAACCTACATCCACAGGGGCCCCTAAATTACTCATCTGGCTGGATGCCTGGAAGATCCAAGCAGGCTGTCAATAATAGTTATCTAAATGCTCCAAATTAACACTAATCAGCGCTGTGGTAGGAAACACTGTCACATGGGACAGCCTCCTGTCGGTATTCTCCCAAATGACGAATGCTGCACAGGCGTGCTTAGTGTGGGCTCTTTAAAACAAGTGAGGATGAAAAAGAGGCACTTCTGGAAGTCAGCATGTCTTAGGTGAGGTTGCCTGGAGGTAAAGCCAGGGCAGTGCTATCTCGTCCAAAGGTTCAGGTGGAATGCCTGGAGGGAGAACCTGTCTTCTCGAATCATCGCTCCTTCACCCAGGTTAAGGGCGCCAAATGCAAGCTCCCTAGTGAGGTCGTCTGCAGTTTAAATAATGAGTCCAGCTCTGCCTTCACAGGAAGCACCTCTGGGAAGGACTGCAGGGAGGGGAAGCTGCATCTGCACTGAACCCCGACCCGGAGGCGGCATACGCAGTCTGGCAGGGAAGCGCGCTGGACAATTCTGGGTTCTAATTCTGGCTCTACCGCAAAATAGCTATGTAACATTAGCTCTCTGAGCCTCGGTTTATTTATCTTCCCAATCGGGATAATAATACCATCCCTTTACTGAAAAGGCCAAATGAAAGAGTAAATGGGAAGGAATATGATGTTAACTGCATAGGAATATGGGGGTTCACTGGGCAGGATCCGCTACCTGGAAAGAAGCCACCCTGGACCCCAAGAGGTTGTGATTAGGTTACAAGTCGGTGTGGCCATGAAGCTATGCTGCAAAGCTAAGCCAGCCAGTGAGAAAGGAGGATGAAAGTCAACTACAAGTAAATAGCAAGGGCGGAGCAGCCTTCCCGGAAGGCACCTACCAACTCAGCACCCACAGGTGCCAGTAGAGGCTAGTGAGCACCACACCTCAAACCCCTCTGCTCAAATGGGAGAGGACTGGGGTGCAGCAAAGGGTCCAGGGCTGTCCTGGAGAAATGCCAGACGCCCACCCCTGAGCTGTGGTGGTACCTGGGAAAGGAGTCAGGCTAGCTGGGGTGGGCAGTCTAGAATCAGATTCCCTACTGAGCCAGCTTTCAATTCAGAACTTTAATTCACTTCCAGATTCATGAGTTTCTAACAAAACACTTCTGTCCTGTGTCCATTTCTTTTCCAAAGCTCCCTTTGCCCATATTCTTTCAATGGTATATCTATACAGATACATCAATATATCTGTACAGACACATACACATGAAACTTTTTCTGTAAAAAACCTCTGCCTAAGGCCCCTGACCTGACTCACAGGACATCCAGAGACCTCAACTAAATCCCACACTCGCAACTGAGGAGCTTGAGACGTGACATGAGTTACTTGCCCAAGGTCCCATTAACAAGTCAGGGCACCGCCAAACTCTGCAGTCTGGACTAAGAGACAAGAGACACTCCAGGGCCTTGGCCGGGTAGCTGAGTTGGTTAGAGCGTTGTCCCAATATGCCAAGGTTGTAGATTCAATCCCCGGTCAGGGCACATACAAGAATCAACAAAGGAATGCACAGATAAGTGGAATAACAAATCTTTCTCTCTCTCTCTCTCTCTCTCTCTCTCTCTCTCTCTCTCTCTCTCTCTCTCTCTCATCAATAAATGGATTTTAAAAATTAAAAAAGTGACACCCCAAACTCCAGATTCTAAAATCGTATCAGAATGGCTGCAGGGAGTATTTCTTCTATTTGGAAAGAAGTCAAAGTCAATTAGTTCTTTGAGGACAATAAGAGCCTCTGTCATTTATGTTTCTATAGGGCAACACTGACATGAGAAAACAATGGCTTAAAAGAATAGACATGCCCAGTGGGCACCTCAGGAGTGTTTATTTAGGTCCCCTACACCAATTGCCGCCATGGGAGATGCTGCACCAAACTAGAAAAATGGAATGGTGTCTGACTCCTAGCAGCTCCCAATGTCCTGCATGACTGGAGGCTCTGAAGGTCTGTAAGTAGAGACTCTGTCTGTAAGAGAGGCTGTGGTACTCCAAAATGATAAGCATAACTTACCGTCAGTCTTTTTGACCTCACTAAAGAAAAAAAAAATTTTTTATCAACAAAAAGGAAATTATAATATATCCCAGGGAACGTTCATTCCTATCACAGTGCGTTCTCTCCCTCAATCCTGGGACTCTCCATGCCTCTGTCTCTTTCTGTGACTGTGATCTGTTTGGATTGGTTGCGCACAGTGAACAGGCCTTACACTGTTGTGGGTCTTGGCAGAGATGGTTTTAACGCTGTCGGGGTCCCAGATGACCAGGTCCGCATCAGATCCCACGGCAATGCGGCCTTTCCGGGGGTAAAGGTTGAAGACTTTGGCTGCGTTGGTGCTGGTCACGGCCACAAACTGGTTCTCATCCATCTTCCCAGTGACCTGCAGAGTAGAACACACACACACACACACACACACACACACACACACACACACACCAGAAACAGGTCAAGAGGTTGAAGGGTGGACTGCGACTCAGCAATAAAAGTGAACACACTTTTGATACATACGACAACTTGGATGTAAGGGCATTATGCTGAGTGAAACAACCAATCTCAAAAGGTCACATACAGTATGATTTCATTTATATACACATTCTTAAAATAACTAAGCTACAGAGAAGGAGAACAGAATAGGAGTGATGAGGGTAGGGATGGGTGTGACTATACATGGGCAGAGTGAGGGGCTCCTTGTGGTGACAGCGGACATCTGTACCTTGTTTGCAGTGATGGTCACATGAATCTCCATAGGACAAAAGGACACACACACACACACACACACACACACACACACACGGCACCATCGTTGATTGCTGGGCTTTGATATCTTACTATAATTATGTGAGATGCAGCTATTGGGGGAAACGGGAGGAGGGTACACAGGCCCTCTCTGTCTTCTCTTTGCACCTTCCTCTGAATATAATTATTTCAAAATGAAAAGTTAAAAAAAAAGGTGACGGGGATACAAACTCCTCTTGAGGAAACATCATTAGACTTGAGTGGCTGTCCTTTTCAAAGATACGGCGCAGACCTAGGCTTCTAGTCTAGCCAATCTAGAGGTCTCAGCCCCATGTCTGGGTTTCTGCAGCCAATGACATTTCCTCATGTCCTTCCTGCCCTTTCTCATCACTACCATGTGTGCTCTATGTCCTTTCAAAAGCAGAATTTGAGGACGTGCCTGCATAGAAAACTACCCTAAAGTAGTAGAAAACTGGGCAAAGGAAATGAGCTGGTATTAAGAGGAAGAGAAAAATATCAATGGTCCATAAGCATATGAAAACATACTCACTCCAATTAGTAACTGAAGGGATTGAATGAAAGACAAATTCACCCATCAAATTAGCCACATTTTGGGGGTTTTGATTATCACACCAATGAGGACCAGGTGGAAGAGACTGAGGGATGTCACACAATGCTGGTGGCACACAAATGGATGCAGTCTTCCTGGAAGTAACTTTGGCAATATATATAGCAAAAGCCCAAAAAATATACATATCCTTTGACTCAGCAATACCACTTCTAGAAATTTCTCCTAGAAGCATAATAAAAGATATGTCCAAGGATAGTCATCCTAGTAACAAAACCAGGTTCCCTATGGGAAGCTGAGCACTGGATCAGTCCAGTGGACAGCCTGACAGGACCAAGAGGCTACCCATTTCTTCAGTGGGGTGGGAGGTGGTTGTTTTGTTAATGTACAATTCAATGACATACCCAGATGCAATTGTACAACTCGATTTCACTGTTCATTTGTATCACCAATAAGGAAAATATTGCTTGGTGATGGTAAGACATAAAAGTACATGACAGCCCTGCCAATGTGGCTCAGCAGTTGAGCATTGACCCACGAACCAAGAGGTCGCTAGTTCAATCCCCAGTCAAGGTACATGCCCAGGTTGCAGGCTTGATCCCCAGTAGGGGGCATGCAGGAGGCAGCCGATCGATGTTTCTCTCTCATGGATGCTTCTATCTCTCTTATCCCTCTCCCCTCCTCTCTCTCTAAAAAATTCAATAAAAACATATATTTTTTTAAAAAAGTGCTCTGAGGCTTTCCTAATTCAATTCTTTGGATTCTGTACGAGAAAAATAAATTTTCACTGCAGGTGTAACTTCTCAGTCACAGCAGCAAACTATTTCCACTTAAAGTGTATATCCAATTTCTCAACTTATAAACATGCAATTAAAAATCACTTTCAAGACCACTTATGCAGTTACCACCAAACTACTGTCAAAACAGAAATAAACTTTTCCTGCATTAAAAAAAAAATCAGAAACAACATAAATGTTCAAAGAACATAAAGAATAAAAACAAGTTTTTCAGGTATATTTCAGAATGTGGAGACCTTTTCATGATGTATTGTCTTAATAAAACAGGCCGTGGTGTTTACACACTCACACACACACATATCATATACACACATGTGCACTCTTGCACTGACAAAAAATGGAAAGACATTTGGCCAACATATTAATTGTCATTAAATCTGAAAGATGGTGTCATGAGTAGTTTTTATTCACTTCCATTCTTTCTGGAACAAGGATATATTGTTTGCATAATTTAAAAAATTCATTAGGAAACAAAACCTGTGCTGTTGTTATGTTTTAAAGCACTGAAAATGCAAAAGTCCCAAGACCCTTGAAGGTCAGAGTATGCTCAAAGCAGGCCCGCCACCAGCCTGTAGTTGTTGTGGGTAGAAATGCTGAGCCCAAAGAGCCCTAAAAACACTTTTAAGGACATGGAGTCCATTTCCAAGAATAGAAGGTTAACTGAGAAAGTCACCAGGTCTCTAAGGAAGCTTTTTCCTGACTAATCACAAAAGAGTCACATTTTAAAGACTGTGGGGTATTGTTTTTTTTAGTCTCCACTGATCACAAATGATAATGATAAAAAATGTATATAAAATGTTTAGAAGGAAATGAACTATATAAGGCGAGATCTTGGATTCCCAAACCTAAGAAATATTGTCATACAAATACCAGCTTCTAGAATTTTCTCAACTGCCATTGCAAGGCTGACATGAGACTGATGGCCCTCAGATGAGGAGGCCGGGGAAAGCTGGGGCCAGCCCAGGAGGGAGAACACTGCTCCTTACCACAGCCTTATCCCAGACGACGGACATCCGCTCCTCAGTGCCATTGGTGCCTTCGGGGATCAGGGTGAAGTTGTCCTTTCCGACCGCCTTCTGGGCAGTGTTGAAAGTACAATGGGCACTGCCAGTGACCTGGAGATCTCCACTGGAAGGGAAACAGATGACACCTATTTGTAAGGCATCTTAGGGTGTCACCGCACCACAGTGGAATCCTTTGGATATCGCATTCATCCCTGTCGGCTGGCCCACATTTTTATTCTAAATCCCCCTCCCCAGAATGGTGCCAAAGTGACAATCCCCTGTTCCCGTTTAGCCAACTGAGTCTGGAGAACACAGGTCTGTCTGCAAGCCTTCTTTTGCCCACCATGCTGTAACCCACCAGGTCAGGTTGGTCTGAGCGAAGACTGAGAATGGAAAGTGTGAACAAGTCGCCAAGACTCACCAGGACAGCAAGGAGTTCAGAAAGTCCGGAGTGGTCGGGTCAGGGCTCAGGGGTGGAGAGGTGACAAAAGCAGCGGCCTTGGCCCAGTTCTTGCTCCAGTAGTGGGAGCCATCAGTTCCCAGGCTGGCGGTGACGGGCTCGCCGTACACCACGGTTCCTGACAAAGAGAACAAAGCTGAATACCATGCAATGAGGGAGAAAGGCAACCAGCCTTGTTGGGAGTAGCCACCGGCCCAGCAGCATGTCAAGGACTCTCACCATCCCTTCAGAGAAGGTGCCAGCTGCATCTCACAGGTGAGGACACAGATACCTGAGGCCAAATACCTCACCCACCAAAGGCACCACCTCAATGTGTGTTCCCTCAGAGTTCACCTTGGGACCTTGCTCTTCTAACTCAACACACTCCGTAGGTGATCCCAAACGTTCCACCTCCTACACTGCTCATTCCCAAATCATTAACACTCTCAGACTGCATTCAAGCATCCAGGCTCAAGTGCTGTCTAGACTACTATTTTTGGGTGATCCATAGCAACTCAAACTTAAACTTACTGCTCACCAAATACTCCCCCTACTCTCCCAACACTTCCCAGACCCCCTCACAGTGTCTAGTTCTAGCTAATGAGCTGAGAGAGGGGATTAGATGTTATACCAAGGAGCTGAAGCATTGAGAGCAAACACAGATCTGCCCAAGAGACAGTGTAGCTCCCTGAGCACCGCCTGAAGGGAACTGCCATTAGCACCCCGAGTCACAGCTGGCTTTGTAAGAGAAACAAAGGACTTTGCAGTACATACTGCAAAATACACTGTAAAGAAAGACTGTCAGTTCCCCCATGCCCAAATCATGTCCTTCTCTGGCCATTCATGTGCAAGCCAGACAGGTGGGAATCATTTACATCATAGAAAGCCAATGCTTCACTGGCTGAAACCCATCCTTTCCTCCACTGCGTGTCCCATCCCCTAGCTCATTCTCCCCCAGCTCATTCCAGCAGAGCCTCCCGATCAGAGTTTAGGTTTACTTTTGCTTTCCTAATCTTCTTCCCCAGCTCTCCATCCCTTCTCCATGACATTCCCGGAGTGATCTCCCTAAGACCGTCTTCCCAGGCCACTCCCTTCAAGAAGTCCTTCAAGGAGCATTTGCCTTCAAGCACAAAAAACGAACTCCTGGCTGCCACATCTGATGCAAGCCATTGTCCGGCGGCCTAACAAAGCTTATCTCCCCATTCACGTCATCCAAAACTCAATCCAGTCGCCACTCCAGTACTCCAATAACCACCCATTTTGAATTTTTGGATTCTCCCTAGACGGAGATACCCTAACGAACACGACTCTGCCTGCACATAGGAGGCTGAACTCAGTAAGTGTGCGTTAGGGTGATCTTTTACTAAGGAAAGGCATCGGAGCTGAAAACTGATGCCAGGCCAGCCTTCCCACCGCCAGGAATCCCCTCTCCTCACCACCTCCTGCCACAGGGCTACCCACCCCCACAGCGGTCCTTCCAGCCCGTCCGCATTCTCCAAACACAGGGTCCTCAGGGCCAAACACTTCTCAGTCAGGAATGTGTCTCCTTCCTCTCACAGCCTTCCCGAGGCCTTACCTCCAGATAACTAAACCACAGGCCCTCTACGCCGCAGCGGCCACTCTGAGCTGGCTCCTCCCAGCTGTGCCCTCCAGCCTCAGGAATTTCATAAAGAACCCTGTTCAGCCGGCGGCGTCGGAGGCCACAGCGGGCAGCTCTCTAGGGGAAATCGGTAACAGTCCTGAAGCAGGAGGGAGGGCTCCACACCCGGGAAGCCTCACCCAGAAGGAAGTCCCCGGAGCCAACGCTCAGAACCCCCTGGCAGGTCTCCTGTGTGCCAGACCTTCTCAAAGCCTCTCAGGCAGAATTTGGTCTGAGGAGCCAGCTGGATGTAAACAGCTCCAGCTCATTCCAAAGTAGAAAAACTCCGCACACCCGAAGGCCCTGGCTGCCACCAAGTCCATTTATGAGATGCAAACAGCTGAGCAGGACCCAGCCGTGCGGTTCTCGGGACCTCCTCTCGGGCTCTTCCCCTCCCGGCTCCGCGCAGCCGGGCCTGGAGCCCTGCTGGCTATTGCCATAGCACAAGGCAGAGGCTGGCACAGGCATCAGGAAAACAAAGGACTCATATCCCTAACGTGTCCAGGTTTTGTTGACATGAAAAAGTTCAAGAGAGCAGAACCACCTGGAGAAAAAAATCCTGGACCACCATAACGTTCCCTGATTTTCCCGTAAATTGCTCCTGCTCATCCTCGGCCTGAATCAGCCCTGCAGTTCTGCTTTGGAAACCTGAGAGCAAGGAGGGGTTGGCTCCTGAACGCATCCTGAATCCCCCTCACGTGCGTGCCCTTGACTGTGGCCCTCATCTCAGTCTGTGACATACAACTGCTGGAGGCGCGGGGCTGGTGCACAGAACATGCACTCGCCGCGAAAGAATGAACTCGGCCTTCAACCTCTGGAAAACCCAGAAGTGGGTCAGAGCTCCAAGGCCACTGCTGAGCAGCCCTGCCTGAGGCCCAGGCTGAGCCAGGGCTCCTGGGCCGGGGCCAAGCTGAGGCGGGGGCACTTAGAGAAGGAGAAAGGCAGCTTGAGGTTCATTTCTGCTTTGTCCTTCCTGTTCAGATTCCAAGGGATCCTAAGATGCTGCGGTCTTTCGGTTTATTCCTTTTCTTCACCCTAAGTGCAGGGCAGGAGTTAGGAGCCATGCTGGGAGCTGGGAGCTGCTCCCCGCACCAGGGCGAGCTCCTGTTTGATGTGCCTGAGCAAGCCCTGCGGGAGCTTCTGACCCTCAGGCCACAGACACACTGAGCTGCCTTCCAGAAACAGTCACCACTAATCAGAATAAACCACGATGGGCTCGATTGGCCGATCCGCACTCCTCCACACACACTGCTGAGGCCTTCTTGGCAGAGGCCAGACCTTCCGATGTCCTTCTCCAGGGGCGTCTAAACTGAAGGATGGGACCCTGAGCTAGCAGCTGGCAGGCTCCCCAGGCCCAGGCCAGCCCGGAACAGACTGCAGGGCCCGCGGCTGGTGCGGAATCACAAGGGGCTGGGGCCTGAGAGCATTCATGCAGAGTAAACGGGAGGCTGGGCTGTGACAGCGCCCCATGGACAAGAAGCAGGGCAAACCCAGAGCAGAAACAATGGAAGACTGAGTACATGTCTTTCAACACACAACCACAAAAGCAGAGTGAAACACTGGCTGGGTCTCTCTCTCTCTCTCTCTCTCTCTCTCTCTCTCTCTCTCTCTCTCTCTCTCTCATCCGAGCCAGGAGCCAACAGCCGGGCCTACCCATGAGTAATCCCGTCAGATTCTGGTACCCAGAGGGTTCCAGAGGAAGAGAACCAACGTTCCCTGAATGAGTCTGGGGTTTTGGAATCGCCCCACTAATCTGATTTGTTTTAAGGGCACTAATGACTCATTTCCACTAGGAAAGAGGGCAACAGGGATGCGCAAAATATCCCCACCACAGACACGCTTACTATTTACTCTAAGAAGTAACGTTTGGGTTGACTGTGTGTTCGATACCTTAGAACATTTTTGTCAAATGGAGTAATCGTGCTAGACCACGTGGTAAAGAAAGGAGGGGCTCGGGGATGCAAGCTCACCGCCCAAGTGCAGCATCTGTGACCGGGGTTCCTGCCTGCCCTGAGGGAGATGCTTATCTGCAGCAGCCTCGGGCCTCAGACACCGGAACCTGCACAGACTCCCATCCTGCAGTGGCTGCATTACAGTGCAAACAGCATTCCCAAGCTCTGTGTCTGCTGCCAAAGTGAGGGCTTTGTCTGGGAAGGAATTTTTGCCTCCAGACAGCCTTGGGGCTCCAGCTGCACCATCAAGTCTTCCCTGAGTCTCCAAGCCCCCAGGCCAGCCTGCAAATTTCAGACTTGCCAGTGCCTACAACTGCAGGAGATTCCTTAAGGTATCTCTCTCTCTCTCTCTCCCTCTCCCTCCCTCCTGTTTCTCTGAAGAGCCCTGGCTAACAGATTTTTATGTCATGCACAAGCCAAGTCATGTGCCACTCTTTGGGTCCAAGACTGCTAGGCTGTGATTAGCATGACACTAAGGATCCATCCCCAAGTTGGGGTGGTCCTCCCGGCTCATCCATGACCACATGCTTCTCATTGTGCCTGCGTCATTCCTATTGACCCGCAGGGCAAAGGAAGTCTTGTCTCGGTTTGGGTTCCCAGGGTTTAACGTCCCTCAGCAACCACCAGATGTTGTGAGCATTTCTGCATCTGGTGGTGGGGCTGGATAAGGAGGAGGCTGGAGAAGAGTGTCTGCTGGCTAAGGTCGGGCACTCACTGCCCACTCACTGTCATCCCCACGCGGGAGGCATCGCGGCCACACTGGGTCACACGTGGACAAAATGCAGCCTGAGGGAGCCGCTGCAGAGCAGCCCCAGAGGGGCCCTCAGTGCAGAGGGGGCTGGCCCGGAGTCCCGATCCCGGGTTCGGCTTCTCATAGGATGAATGAGCTGGGGAGCACGATACTCACTTCCACATTTCAGTTTCTCTTCATGCTAGGAGCCTATTAAATAGACCAATGCCCAAGTGCTTTTGAAGAGTAAAAATTGCTCAGGGCAGCCTGGTCCTGGCTGTCCCAGTGGACGGCACAGAGGAGGGAGGAGCAGGTGCAAGGCCGCCTCTGGGGAACAGTGTGGTCGTGGTGGGTCAGGCAGGCATGTGAAAATAGTGTTCATTTATGTTTTTCCTCATATCTTTGCTTCCCCAAACTCCCCGTTTTAGATGTAGGACCAGCACATGGGAACCAATCAGAGAAGCAGGTGTAGGGTTAGGATTTTCCAGTAGTGCCCATCTGCAGAGACATGGAGAGTCCTCCCCTGTGGCCTGAGATAGGCAGTGCGTGTCTGTCAACAGTGGCACCTTCCTCCACGCTCTGACCACACATGGCTGCACCTCTTTGGCAGCACTGACCATCTGCCATTGTGACTTTCTGCCTGTGTCCCCACCCTGCTGGTGAAGGAGCTGACGGCTAGGACCATTTCGACCACTGCACAAAGGCCTGAAGTATCACACAGTAAAAGGAAATAGTAGCCCCAGCCAGCTTTGCTCGGTGGTTAGAGCATCAGCCCTTGGACTGAAGGGTCTTGGGTTTGATTACGGTCAAGGGCATGTACCTCAGTAGCAGGCTCGATCCCCTACCCAGGTCAGGACATGTGCAGGAGGCAACCAATCAATGTGTCTCTCTCACATCGATATTTCTCTCTCTCTGTCTCTTCCCCTCCCTTCCACTCTCTCTAAAAAGCAATGGGGAGAAAATAGCCTCAGGTGAAGATTAACAACAACAACAACGAAAGTACATAGTAAAAGCTCTTGAATGAATGATAAATCTCTCCAATTTATAGATGAAGAAATGGAGCAGCAGAAAGTTGGCCTCACACTTACCTCCAGGGCCAGAAGAACCCACCTAAAGAAAAGAATCCTTCGTAGAAAACCCTCGCCCAGGTCAGCAGGAGTCTTTCTTTGCTTCTCTGACCAGCCCTTCATTCAGCAACCATATGAGTAGCAGGTATGCGTGTTATACGCACCTTTATGAACAGCGTCTCACTCGAGCATCACTGTCGTGCTGTGCGGTAAGTCACTCTCCCTGCCCTCCCTTGCAGAGGGAAAACGGGGCCTAGAGATGACCCCTCCCCTGCCCAGCATCTCGTGCAAGTGCACAGGGGCCTGGCATCTGTCAGCACAGGAGGTTGATCCCAGCGTGTGAACGCTTATACAGCCTTATGTTGTTGTTCTTCTCGGCCCATATTGTCCCAGACTGTGCTGGGCGTCAGGCTTTAGTTTTACCAGGCTTGTTGAGGAACTGAACCCCAACAGATACCGACAAGAAGATGGTCACCACATTTCCCATACTAAAATAATCTCAAAGCATCGAGTCCCATATTAACATGGATAGGCATGGCCTGAGGCCAGATATCCCACCACTCGCCAGCCCCGGGGGTCAGTTTACTCAGCTGCCAAGTAAAGCAAAGTACAATGACCCCTGCCCGGCCACCTCCCAAAGTTGTTACAAAGTCCCAACAAGACAGAAAGAGTCTTAAGAGCCGGCAAAGCCAGCTAGGATTTCCATTCTTCCTCATAAACACGGGATGCACTGGAGGGTCCTGGCGGCCGGTCCTTCTGAAGCAAAGGCTTTCCGGACTGTACAGTGAGCGAGAGTCTGAATGCAAGAGCCGCCCTGGGAACCGCAACGCGGGCACAGCTGGGACCCACACCTGGGACCCACACCTGGAAGGTTCTAAAACAAACAGACTTACGTAGTCCCTTCTTCACCCTCACACCCTAATACTCACACAGGATCAAAGTCACAAAGACAACAGAGAGACAGCTCGGGCACCGAGTCTCAGCGCATCAGAACAGGACTGTTTGTATAACAACATTCTCTAGCTCCACATCTTCAAGTGGGGAAACTAAGGCACAGAAAGGAGAAGGGTCTCCAGCGTACCTGCCAGGGCTGGCCCAGACCCGGTCTGGTGAGAGGCCCTCCTCCTCCCTCCTCCTGTGCAAGTCACAGGCTGAGTTCAAAAACAAGGCCTCAGTAGTTAAATTATATTAAATTGAATGTTTAATTATATTAAAATTACATTAAATGTTTAACTTTTTGTTTCTTATTGTCATCTGAGTACAGTGTGGTTATTAAAACAAATGAAATAGGCTGCCGACCAATTCCTCCTTTCAGACACGGTGCCCACTGTGCCCGCTGGGGAGCAGCGGCTGTGACGCGCTGGGCGCTGAGGCTGACTCCCACACGCGCCGGCATGTTAGAAGCGGGTGCCTGGGTGACACAGGGCCCTCATGAGGGAGGGTCGCTCACAGTCACCATCTACCACGTTTCCTAGAAACAATTTACAGCCCATTCTGAGCAGACGAAGTTATTTTAGGTGAATCTTTTATTTCAAAAAGGCAATTCCTTCCAGCTGCCATGAGAGGACGAGCTGCAGCAAGAGGACAAAGTGCCATTCCACCTGATCTGGAGCCTGAGGACAGAGGCCCAGGAGCGCCCCAAGGAGGGCCTTCTGCAAGCCGCCCTCTCTTGGGACCAGCTGACTCCGTGGCCACTCAGCAGTTTGATCTAAATCTTGCCCCAAGTCACCCATCAGTGAAGAAATCCTAGTCCTCCTTATCCATGCAGATCCCATCCCACAGAGAACTAGAAACCAAGCCTCAAGGTCGGACTGCCCCTTATTAACAGAGAAAGAGGAATGCAGAGAGAACGGTAAAGCGAAAGGAGAATGAGAAAGAGAGGCCAAGAAGAGATGCGAGACCAGGAGAAAGCAGGGCAGAAATCAAGAGAGAAATGGAGACACAAAGATGGAGAGAGTAACAGAACAAGAAATGAAAGAAATGGAGAAATACGGGGCTGGAGAGATCCAGAGAGGCAAAGGGTGGGAACATAATGGGAGGAAGGAAGGAAGGAAGCAGGGAAAGAGGAAGGACCCTCTTATGATAGCCATGTTCACGTCAGGCCAAGAGCCACCTGTGTCCACCGCGTGCGATCAGGCTCTGTGTGGGCAGCTACCCTCCCAAGCCAGGAACACGTGGTGCGAGCATCCAAACTCGCTGCCAAGGGCAGGTTACAGCCGGGCTCGGCGGCATCCATAATGGATAAGGTGCCCACGGAACAGCTCTGGAAGCTGCACTTAGTAAATTAGTTTCCAATAACTCTCGATGGCCTCCCAGCTTCAGCCCAGACTATATCAACATAATGTACAGGGAGTGACTTGGGCACCAGAAGGCCTGGACATGACATGCCCAGGGCAACGCCCCTGCCCCACACCCCCCAGGCTCTCTCACCCAGTGGGCAGCACTACCGGCCACAAGGGGAAATGCATTTGCAACAGAAAGTTGCCCAGAAGGGTGCTGCTGCAGATGGAAAGTGATGCCATCCGTGTGCGTGCCTCGTTTATCTAGACTGCATCGAATTAATCCAACCTTCCCAGAGGAGGGGGTGGCAGGGGGGAGTGTGCCTGCCGCTGGTGCAGTGCTCAGCTTTAAACAGGTGCTGAAGGCCGCGCGGTGGAGCAGGGGAGAAACTGGAGCTCCTGCCTTGCTCCACTGTAATTAGGTTAATGCTGCCACGTGGTGAAAGCGGACCACTTGGCATGAGGGTCTGGAAAAGGAGCCCTGCTCGCTTCCAAACCGGCCGGCAGTCAGGCAGCCAGCAGCACCTACCCTTTTTCCGGGCCTGGGCGATGACTTCAGCCGCGCTCTTGCTCATCACTTTGGTGATGTACAGGGGGCAGTTGGTCTGGTTGGCGATGGTAATCGAACGATTCACGGCTTCAGCCTCGACCTACAGAAAAGCATCTGAATGTGAGAGCCGTCCCCACTCCACAAGCCCACCGTCACCCTCCACCCTGCAAAAAAGGCTAAGTTCCTAAGAGACCACTGTGTCCTCAAGACTCTCCCCTGAGTGGCACGCCAGATGTGACCTGCCCAGTGTCACTCCATGTTGACTGGAGTGGGCAGCATCCCTTCCTGGCCCTTCTGAGGGGTTCTGAGTGTGGTGGGCAGGCCTGCAAAGCCAGCAGCAGCCTGGGAGATGTGCAGCTCTCGGGCCTCACCCACACCCACAGGGCCAGCACCTCTTGGCAGTGAGACTCGAGGTGGTTTTAATGCTTGCTAACATTTGAGGACCACCACGCACAGAAACACTGCTCCCAATGTTAGTACTTCATTCCAGCTGCGTGGTCTTGAGTCAAGACCCTCATTGATGTGATCATTTGGGCTGGGCGCCTGTACGATGCTCACAGAGGAAGCCAGCACTGACGAAGGGACAATGCGGCCTCACAGGGTCCTGGGGATGGAGCAGGCAGCATCTGTGCAAACCAAAGTCCCTCTGTGTGTGGACCACTGCCGTGGCCAGCCACAGGCTGGTACGACCTTCAGCACAAGCAGGGAAAGAGCTGCTCTAATTAATAACATGATGCTTTAAACCTGATGCTTCCATGGATGAAAATTCAAAGACCCCATGCGATGACTGCTAAACCTGATCAGATAAGACTACTTAGAACAAATTATATCTTACAGAGGAATCAGCCATGCGTTTAGAAAGGGCAACTGAAAAAGCAAGTGAAGCTGTGAAACAACGGTGTCAGAAAGGCTTTTACTCCCTCCCAACTCTGGGCCAAAGGCTGTGGCTTGATCTCTTTGAGGCAAGGGGCTGGGCGTTACTCGGCTCTCTGAAGCCTCCATTGCCCATCCTCAGCCGTTCCCAATGTAATGCCCAGTGCACAACAAGTGCTTGAAAATGTTTACTCGCCGAAACCGGTTTGGCTCAGTGGATGGAGCGTCAGCCTGCGGACTGAAAGGTCCCAGGTTCGATTCCGGTCAAGGGCATGTACCTGGGTTGCGGGCACATCCCCAGTAGGAGATGTGCAGGAAGGCGGCTGATCGATGTTTCTCTCTCATCGATGTTTCTAACTCTCTATCCCTCTCCCTTCCTCTCTGTAAAAAATCAATAAAATATATTTAAAAAAAAAAAGAAAATGTTTACTGAACAAATAACTGGCTTCCTTCTATGTTCATGGTTAAAGCGAGGCTGTTCCATAAAGAGCTGTGATTTTCTTCACAAGAAATGACTGAACTCCTAACTGAACCATCTGAGCTAACCAAGCCCCACAGGAGCTTGGCCAAGAGCTGAGGCACTATAATTGCATTAACTGGTAATCTAATTTAATAACCTAAGACAACACTCACATTTGGCCTTTCAGGCATCAGATATGTGAAGAGAGATGTCTAGAAATCTAAAGGCAAACCAAATGGCTCTTGAAAAAGCTCATTAAACATCCAAATGTTTTTAATTCCTGGAATAGCTAACCGATCAGCGCTCTCTTTCTCCTTGGCTCCAGTTACAACCAAAGTGCCTCTGGCTCAGGCAGCACACGGGACAGACGTCCTCCATCTCTGTGGTCACCTCACAAGTCTGCAGAGTAGCCCAGATGGTGTGGCTCATTGGTTGAACATCGACCTATGAACCAGGAGGTCATGGTTCGATTCCTGGTCACATGCCCAGGTCCCCGCGGGTTCCATCCCTAGTGGGAAGGGGGTAAGGGGGGTGTGCAGGAAGTAGCTGATCAATGATTCTCTTTCATCATTGATGTTTCTATCTCCCTCTCCCTTCCTCTCTGAAATCATTAAAAATGCGTATTTTTAAAAAAATGTCTGCAGAGTAAAAAGGACTCCCCTAGAATCCTCATCGCTTCCTGGGGGTGCCAGTGACTTCCCAATTCACTGTCCCAACTCAGATACTCGAAAGTGAACAGAGGCACTATTCATAACTGCAGGGAGCAATGGGTGGGGACTGGGCTGTCCCGAGTGCACTGGAATGAGTAATCATCCTAATTAGTAATCATCCTAATGAGTAAATGGAGCAAAAGTGCCAGTTCTACCAGGGCCCTGCCCAAGAGGACTGGCTTCCAGGAAGCCTGGCTTTGGTTTGGAGAATCCGGGTCCCAGGGTCCCGTGGGGATTTGCTCATCCGCTGTGAGGTTCTGACCCCACCTCCCCCTCCCTCGCACAGGCCTGGAATGAGGGCAGAGGCCAAACTACAAGATTACCTCGTGGAGAGAGAAGGTCATTTAAACAAGTCCCCAGGCTGCACCCAGAACCATGAGAGAATCCACATTTCACCCTTCTATGTGTATAGCTGTGTGCCTGACATGCAGCATAAACTGTCTCACACACACCGAGCTCTGCTTTAAATACTATTGCTTTAAAACATTACGAAAATAGTATTTAAATTAGAAATAAAAACTATTGTCTCATTATAGAGCTCTCAGAAATTGGGGGGTCACTAGCCTTGTTTTCTGATTTTAAAAATGAGCATGCCTCCTTGGCCAGCATGCTCAGTGGTTAGAGCATCGACTGCATACCAGAGGGTCTCAGGTTTGATTCTTGGTCAAGGACATGTACCTGGGTTGCAGGTTCGATCCCCTGCCCTGGTCAGGCCACATGGGAGAGGCAACCAATTGCTGTTTCTCTCTCTCCTCCTCCTCCCTTCCATCTGCTCGCTCTTAAAAAAAATAAATAAATAATGGAGAAGATATCCTCTGGTGAGGATTAATAAAATAAAATTTAAAAATGCAACATCCCTAGGTCCAGAGAGAAATGCAAATTATATAGGAACACAGTGTCAGCACACACAGCAGTGTTCATATCCACACCAGCCCCAGGACACAGTGTCAGCACACAGAGCAGTGTTCATACCCACACCATCCCCAGGACACAGTGTCAGTACACACAGCAGTGTTCATACACACACCAGCCCCAGGACACAGTGTCAGTACACACAGCAGTGTTCATACACACACCAGCCCCAGGACACAGTGTCAGTACACACAGCAGTGTTCATACACACACCAGCCCCAGGACACAGTGTCAGCACACACAGCAGTGTTCATACACACACCAGCCCCAGGACACAGTGTCAGTACACACAGCAGTGTTCATACCCACACCATCCCCAGGACACAGTGTCAGCACACACAGCAGTGTTAATACACACACCAGCCCCAGGACACAGTGTCAGTACACACAGCAGTGTTAATACACACACCATCCACAGGACACAATGTCAGTACACACAGCAGTGTTCATACCCACACCATCCCCAGGACACAGTGTCAGCACACACAGCAGTGTTCATACCCACACCATCCCCAGGACACAGTGTCAGCACACACAGCAGTGTTAATACACACACCAGCCCCAGGACACAGTGTCAGTACACACAGCAGTGTTCATACCCACACCATCCCCAGGACACAGTGTCAGCACACACAGCAGTGTTAATACACACACCAGCCCAGGACACAGTGTCAGCACACACAGCAGTGTTCATACACACACCAGCCCCAGGACACAGTGTCAGTACACACAGCAGTGTTCATACACACACCAGCCCCAGGACACAGTGTCAGTACACACAGCAGTGTTCATACCCACACCAGCCCCAGGACACAGTGTCAGCACACACAACAGTGTTAATACACACACCAGCCCCAGGACACAGTGTCAGTACACACAGCAGTGTTCATACACACACCAGCCCCAGGACACAGTGTCAGTGCACACAGCAGTGTTAATACACACACCATCCACAGGACACAGTGTCAGCACACACAGCAGTGTTCATACACACACCAGCCCCAGGACACAGTGTCAGTACACACAGCAGTGTTCATACACACACCAGCCCCAGGACACAGTGTCAGTACACACAACAGTGTTCATACCCACACCAGCCCCAGGACACAGTGTCAGTACACACAACAGTGTTAATACGTACACCAGCCCCAGGACACAGTGTCAGCACACACAGCAGTGTTAATACACACACCATCCACAGGACACAGTGTTAATACACACACCAGCCCCAGGACACAGTGTCAGTACACACGACAGTGTTCATACCCACACCAGCCCCAGGACACAGTGTCAGCACACACAGCAGTGTTAATACACACACCAGCCCCAGGACACAGTGTCAGCACACACAGCAGTGTTCATACCCACACCAGCCCCAGGACACAGTGTCAGCACACACAGCAGTGTTAATACACACACCAGCCCCAGGACACAGTGTCAGTACACACAGCAGTGTTAATACACACACCATCCACAGGACACAGTGTCAGTACACACAGCAGTGTTCATACCCACACCATCCCCAGGACACAGTGTCAGCACACACAGCAGTGTTAATACACACACCAGCCCAGGACACAGTGTCAGTACACACAGCAGTGTTCATACCCACACCATCCCCAGGACACAGTGTCAGCACACACAGCAGTGTTAATACACACACCAGCCCCAGGACACAGTGTCAGCACACAGAGCAGTGTTCATACACACACCAGCCCCAGGACACAGTGTCAGTACACACAGCAGTGTTAATACACACACCAGCCCCAGGACACAGTGTCAGCACACACAACAGTGTTAATACACACACCAGCCCCAGGACACAGTGTCAGTACACACAACAGTGTTCATACACACACCATCCACAGGACACAGTGTCAGTACACACAGCAGTGTTAATACACACACCAGCCCCAGGACACAGTGTCAGTACACACAGCAGTGTTAATACACACACCATCCCCAGGACACAGTGTCAGTACACACATCAGTGTTAATACACACACCAGCCCCAGGACACAGTGTCAGTACACACAGCAGTGTTAATACACACACCATCCCCAGGACACAGTGTCAGTACACACAGCAGTGTTAATACACACACCAGCCCCAGGACACAGTGTCAGTACACACAGCAGTGTTAATACACACACCAGCCCCAGGACACAGTGTCAGCACACACAACAGTGTTAATACACACACCATCCACAGGACACACAGGTCACAGGTCAGTACACACAACAGGGTTCATACACACACCAGCCCCAGGGCACACAGGTCACAGGTCAGTACACACAACAGGGTTCATACACACACCAGCCCCAGGACACACAGGTCAGTGCCAGCATGCCCTTCATGGCTCAGTCCCCAGCCATCTGCGTAGCCCACAAGGCCGTTAGAAAGTTCCTTTCAGTAAGCAATTCTTCATCACCCTCACCTCCGAGCCCCACTCTCTTCCCAGAGCCAGTCTTTCCCTCTTCCTCCCTCTCACAGGGGTCACGTTCTCCTTCATCTCGCTGCCCCCACGGGCTGCAGTCCTACTCCGTGCTGGGACATCTTTGATGGATACTAGATTTCTGCATTCTCTGCGTCTCCCTTCCGATCTTCTCCGCTGCAAATGGCCAGCCGTGCTGGCAGCCTCCCTGGGTGGCAGGGAGAGCAGCAGAGGCAGGGACCGCTCTGGGCGTCCAGCGCGGGTCACGGACTTGTGGAGCGACATTCTCGTAGGCTCTGAACCGCTATGTCCGATGGATGGGCAGCATCGCCCCAGCTGAACTGTGCATGAAGCTCAGTCCCCTCAGAATGGCTCCACATTTTACCGCTCGTGTAGGGCTTAATGCACAACAGACCCCTGGCGACAAACTGAAAATTGCCACCAGTAGCGGAGGGAGAAGGCGTGGGATGTGCTGGCAGCTGTCCTTAGGGAGCACGAGTCCTGGGCCTGGCAGAGGGCAGGGCCTCTGAACCCGCTGAGAAGAGCAGGCAGAAGAAAGCCCCCAACAGCAGCCCCTCGGGAGATGAGAGGTCACCCCAAGGAACCAAGAGCTCCCCATGTCGGAGCGTTCTGCCAGCCCCCAAAAAAGCCTTCGCGCCCCACTGCTGTGGACTCTGAAACACTCAAAGCAGCAGCTGCTACAAGAGATGTCTCCGTGCCAACCAGGACAATGGCCTTGATTTTGTGGTCAAAATGGCAACCGGAACAGCGCTCCTCCCGTAGCTCCGGCCTGTCCAGGGAACCTAGGGCGGGCTTTGCGTTCTGATTGGGGTTTGCAGGGATCTGGGGACGCAGAGAAGACAGCAGGGAGAAGGGGAAGCAAGCCCCACCAAGACTCTCAATTTAAACAAGCACAGGGCTCCCAGAACAGCCTCCTGGAACAGGGAGAGCAGCGTGCTCTCTCAGGGCCAGCACCTTCCTGCCACCTGCACAGGTAGTTGGGACGGGGTGAGAGCAGCTCTGCAGCCAGCCAGTGGGATGGGGGTGAGAGGAAACTGTGTAACTAAGCCCAGCCCAGGAGTCACCACCTGGTGACAAGGGCCATTGGCTCGAGGCTGAGCTGGGGCTCCGCAGGCACGGCTGGGGGTTGGTGCAGAGCAGGAGGGTGTTGCTGGGGAGCAGACAGACACTGCGTCTTCCGCTCTCTGACGCGGGGCAGCCACAACATCCCACCACCGTGGTGTCTTTATATGAGAGACACGTAGCTCACAAAGGCTCTGCCGCACATAAGCAGTGGAATACGAATGGGTTCCCTGGATAGCGCTGTGCAGTCTGCATGAATGGCGCCCCTGCAGTTGTGTGAAGGAGGGTCTTTGTGTCTCTCACAGAACCACCACCAAACGTGAACTGTTACAACGGGGTCTGGTGCCTCTGGGGACCCAGTAAATGCTGTCTCTGATGGGGCTTCTGAGGGAAAGAAAGCACTACGAGAGCCATGCCCTCCCATGCCTCTCCTGGGCCTTGCAGCTCAGAGACCTCGCCCCAAACTGTGTAGGACCGAATGCAGGCCCAACCAATCTAAGGAGGATGGAGCTGAGGGCCACCGTGGCCTATGCCAGCCTTCCCTCCCCAACAGGTTTATCCCAGGAAATTTGATTACAATGGTCACCGAGGCCAGCTGTGAAAAGAAAACAAAGCCATGGACAGGAATCTTCAGGGTATCTATGCAAGTGAGATCTTCTCTACGCATGTGTGTATATGTGTGTAAATGTGCCTATGTATTTTGTAACGTGTCAATGTGTATGTACATGTGTACAAGAGTGTGCATGTGTACATGTGTGCACTTGTATCTGAACATGTGTATGTGTGCATGCTTGTGCATAAAACCAGCCTAGCCTCAGGTGCTCTTAGCATCAGCTACTGAGATGGTCTCAGCTACTGTCTCCCTCTCTCCTCCCGAATCCTGTCCACCAGCCAGTCACGGCACGGGGTTCCCGCAGCTAATATAGGGGCCTAAAGAGGTCACCTGCAGCCTCTCTCACCCTCGTGACGGCTCCGACTCACGCCTTCAGCTTTCAGCACACCTGGGCAGGTTGGATGGTTAGGAAAGGCCCTCTGTCCCACGGCCTGGAGAGGAGCATACAATACTGAAAATTCCACAGCTTCCGCCTTCATGTGGGGAGGAAAATGTCCTCAGTGCTGAAGGTGTCCTGGTGTGTCTGTGACTATGTCCGTCTCTACCTGTCTGTGTGTGATTCTGTGTCTGTGTGTGTATCTGTGTGTGTGTCTGTATCTATGTGTGTGCCTTTGTGTGTGACTGTGAGTTTGCAGTAGGAAGGGCAAAATAAGGAAGTAGAAGCACTCACATTCTAAGTGGCTTCCACCTTCACCTTTTCTGCCTTACATCCTTTCTGCCTTTCCAGCCTCACTCCTTCCCCACGCCTGAGAGAAAAAGGCTGTGGATGCCGTGCCGCCTCCCCCCCACACACACCAGCACCTTTGATTCAGCCCTTGAGAATCCCTTTTCATTCTGGAGGGGCACCCAGGGGCCCTCACGTGCACACCCCCCATACTCAGCGGGAACACCCCAGTTCTAAAGTTCTGAGATTTGGGGGCCCTGCTCCCATTCATACTCCTCTTGTCAAGCTTCTCTCCAGCTGTTTCTGGAGGTAAAAACCAAATTTATGCCAAGATCCATTTTCCTGATGATTTTATCTGCCTTTATCTGCACCCATTCCTTTTCCATCTAATTTCCAGTAAAGAGGAAGTCTGTTCATTTCCAGGAGACTCCCCAGAACTCCCTTTGCTCAGAGCCAGGTCCTCAAACACCTGACCTTGAAGCTTTCATTAAGGAGCCAACTCCTGAGAAGGACTGAAAGGCCACACATTCTACTTTAGAGAAACCGATTCTCCATCACATACGGGACGATGTGGGCACCCCACCCCCGGTAACTTACCAGCCTCACCATCCAAGTCAGCAGCTCTCAGCCTTGGTGCCAGCGGGGCCCCTGCTCTTCATTTCCCTCCCCTACTTTGAAAAATTCGGCCTACCCACCCTGCTGGTCACCCTGGGCAGACTTGCCATGGGAAACACACAGCTCTCTTATGCTTTGGATACTTAGAGGAGCTTTAGATCCCCGTGACTAATGCTTGGTGACTGGTGAGATTCCAGAGGCCCCAAGATCTGAACCACGAAACCCAGATTGCAGGACGCTGATTAAAAGCTTTGTGTCCCCCCAGAAAGGGCTGGAGAATCCGAGCGGAGAAAGGCGTCTTCAGGCTAAACAAGCCACACTGCTCTACGCCTCGGCTCAGTCTCCCCTGCACTTTGCCTGAGTGGACACGCGGGTAACCTGAGACGTCCACGGCCAAAACAGCCTCGCAGAAGCCCCAGCTGTGCAGGCAGGAGGTGTGCCGGCTCTGGCAGCCCAGGGACACGCAGGACCTCCACTGCATTCAGCAGGTGCTCACCTCCTCAGGCCGGCTCAGCACGTGTCCCTCGGGGCCCGTGATGCCCAGGTCCAGGATCCGCTGCTGCTCCTGCAATGTTTAAAGAAAGCCAGGCCATCAGGGATTGCTGTGTGTGTCCACGTGCACGTGTGTGTCTCTGTGTGGGACTGCAGGTGGCTCTGACTGCTAGGGGCCTGGGCAGTTACCCAGGCAAGATGTAAAAATGGCGCTGCTGACCACCTGGCCCTCATGCCAAGACCCCATGAAGAGAAAGGCTCACTACCCGATTCCCAGTCCTGCCTGAGCTATGACAGGCCAATCGCAGCCTCCCGAATGCACACAGCTGCTCCCTGGGATGGTAAGGGTAAAATGTCTGCACGTGGGGGTCCAGGGCCACCCCACACAGACAGCTGCATCCCAGCACCGAGAGAATCCCGTGTCTGTGGAAAGGGAGCAGGCTGTGTGTCCTACGGAACACACCACGAGGCGCCCGTGGCACGCGCTGCGTGAGGCGAGCACAGCACCCAGGATGGCTCCATCAGGTCCCCTGCTTCTCCTCCTGGGGCTGAGCTACAGATATCATCGCTTCTCAAGCCCGCCTCTCGCCCTGCGGCTCATGCAGAAAGAAATGATGGGGAGGAAGGCACAGTACCTCTGCAATGATGTCGCCGTTCTCTGCGTGGACTTGGGCGATGGCACCAATGTCCCGGATCACGCTCAGGACTTCATAGATCTGAGGAGGGAGTTGGGGTCAGAGACAGGGACCTCCAGCTTCCTGTTCACCAGCACAACCCTGTCCCCGACGGCCACAGGGGCCAGAAATGGCACCCATTTCCTTGGGGCTTCTACAAGCTGGTGTTTTTACAGACCCAGAGGGCCATGCTTCTGGCCCGCGTGGGACAGAGCAGAACCTCCAGTAATTAGCAGAGGCAGAGTAACCGAACAGGATGTGAACTGGGAGTAAGAAGCTCAGAGGAGACGCCAGGCTCTGCGCACACCCTCAGCCACGCGGCCCCTCGGCATGCTGACTGCAGAGCCGGGTAGAACACCAGTCCTGGTTCACAGCCTCCCTAAAGGTGAAGTGAGAGCCAGGACTTGATCCACCAGCCATTTCCCCTGAAGCTAAGGGATGTGCATACACTCGAGGCAGCTTTCAAGACCACAGCCGTGGCCAAATGTACCGAATGCCAGTGATCTGCTCAGGAAAGCCCACGTTTCTTACCTGGGAATCCGTCAGCTGGAAGCGATCTTTGAAAGCCATGTACACGAGGAAGGAATTTACCCCTGGAGGACAGACAAAAGAGACAGACAAAATGCATAACTGTAACAGGCCACCCAAATAATCCGGAAGGGAACAAAAAAGTTACGATATTATGTGTATGTGTATATATGCAGTGTAGGCAAAAGTAGGTTCACAGTGGTGGGTATGGAAAAAGACATACAGGATATGATTATTACATTATCACAATAGCTTGTTAGCTGTGTGTATGCTGTACTCACAACTGGAAACCTACTTTTGCCCCCCACCCCCACATCATGCAGAGAGAAAGAGAGACAGATGGAGACACAGAGAGAATGATAATGCAAATGAGGCAAAATATAAACAACTGGTAAATCTGGGAATAAGGTGGGAAAGTTCTTTTTAGTATTCTTACAATTTTCCTCTAAGTTTAAAACTCTACCAAAATTAACAGTTGCTGTTATTTGTACACCCATACACACACAGCAGCAGTATTCCAATACCAACGAGTGAAGCAACCCAAGTGTCCCCTGACAGGTGAATGGATAAACACAACGTGGCACGGCCATCTAATGGACTATTACTCAGGCTCAAGCGGGATCGTAAGAAGCTAGGACAACTCCTTGGCGAGTAAAGTGGGGACACGACACACAGCTGAACAAACTGGCCGAGCAATTCCGAGCAGGTACAGAAGGTCACTTTCTAAAGACAACACCTAGGTCTTAGTTGTATGTCAGCTCCAGGCCCAGAAAAGCAGCAAAACCAGGTGGGTGACACCAGGACCAGCTGCAATGACTATTGACCCCTGTCCTGGCACTGGCCAACCAGTGGAGGCCAGGACAGAGCACACCTGGAAAAGCTGATGAATATTTTATTGAGATCTTCCCCTAAGATCTGCCCTAAACCCTCAAAACAAAGGAGCCAGCCCGCCCTCTGGGAGTATCTTCCTCCTCCACCTCTCCCACAGGCGTGCATCTCCTAAACTCTAAGAGTCCCCAAGAGATTTTCGACCAGGGGAGCAATGGGCAGTGGCAGCTCATCCCAGGGTAACCCCCTGAACCTGTCCCCAAGGCCCCCTTTCCTGTGACTGCAGTGAGCTGATTGCAACCCCACCTCAGCTCATTTCTTCCTGTAACATTTTTAGAGAATCGAAGCAGCCCCGCATAGGCTCCCTCCTGTTGCTTCTTCTGTTCTAAACCTTTCCTTGTTCCACTGTCCCCAGAGATAACAAACATACTCTCACAATCACCTGGAGTCCTGTTGTGAAATCTTTTTTGCACCAAGTCAAGAACCCACACACTACCAGCGCCTGGGGCAGACCCAGTCTGAGCCGGTCCCTTTTCCGGTACCATTCTGACATATGCCACAAACATGGGTCAGCCCTGAGGGTATTATACTCAATGAAATAAGCCAGTCACAAAAGGACAAATACTGCAGGATTCCACTTACATGTCAAATTCACAGAGACAGGAAGTAGAATGGCAGAAAATGGGGGTTGCCAAGGGCTGGCGGGAGGGAGAATGGGGAATTATTGTTTAATGAGGACAGAATTTCCATTTGGAAAGGTGAAAAGTTCCAGGGGAGGGTAGTGGGGATGGCTGCTCAACAATGTAAATGTACTTAATGCCACAAACAGTACATTTACCATGGTTAAGGTGGTAAATTTTATGTTATGCTGTGTTTTACCGCAATTAAAAGTTAATAAGTTTTCCCAACTTTTGTGACTTTAACAAGGCAATGAAATAGAAGACCTTATTGATGAAGATCTATAATAGAAGTCTTTTCTGTGGTAAACAGACTGCCCTCCATGCTGACTTTAAGAAAAGGTCCTTGAGTGTGACAAGCATATGTTGCAGTTCTCATCCTGGTATTTTAGAGTTCTTGCCTCCCTAGTGCAAGAACAAATATCCCTGCCCAGATGGTAAACAACTGTATTGACAACCTCATAGCCTTGGAGCTTAACCCAGGGGTGCTGGCGACAGTGCTGTGAGCTGCCTAAATTCAAGGCTCAGGACATCTCAGCCCTCCTCTGTTGCCAGGAAACAGTTGTTATGGTAACTCTCTTGGTTGAGTTAGACTGGATTCATTTCTAAGTATCAAAAGTTAAATCTTGGCATTTTCAAAAGTGAGAAAGATCAAGGGTTAGCTACTTCCTTTTATGCTGGGCCTTCATGGTAGAAAGAATCTTAGGATATCTAGTACAAAACCCTCCTGTGAGAGTCTTTTTTTTTTTTTTTTTTTTATTGAAATTCAGAAAATTTAAGTGATTTGCCCAAGGTCACACAGCTAATTTGTGGAAGAGCAAAGCAATAAACCCAAGATTCTAGATTTCCATTTCGAGCTTCTTCTACCATATCTCTGGATATCTACCATATCTATGTCTAGCAGTTTCCCTCCTGCCATTTTCTTCACAGCTCATGGAACTTCTGGGCTTAGAAATCTCCTAACCCGAAAGCAATAGGTTCTTCCCCAACAGTTAAGATCCAATGAGGCCTGCATGTGACCCAGGAGTCGAATCTAGTCTACAGCCAAGTTTAAGGGGTCCCTGTAGGACTATATAATTTGGCAACACCACCCAAAACCCCAAGCTTCCTCTGGTAACAGGGTCCCAGGGGCATTTTGAGGTAGTCAAGATCCCTCCAGCCGCCCTGGACAGCTTTCAGAACCCAATCCTTGGAATCCTGCTCCCCAAAATAGTCTTAGGGATCAACAGACCCCTCGGGTTGTCCCACGGCCTCCTCACCCTCCAGTCTGTCCTGGTTCTTCCGGATTTGCAGGAAGAAGCTGTTCAAGTCCTCTACCCCAGGTCCCAGGCACTCTCCTGCGACTGCCCAGAATCCTCACTGGCTCATCACTCTCGTAGCCTCAACTCCCCAACCTGGCTTGGGCACATGGTTCCCTCAAACCAATAAGATGCAAGCAGTTGTTACATAAGAGCAGGTCCCTGGAATAAGGCTCAGGTTCTCATATCAATGAAAGCTTCTTTGGCTGCCCTGGGTTTGGCTACCTCCAATCAGCATGAGCTGCAGCCAAAGCCCTGTCTTCTCAGAGGCACGGGTGAGGCCCAAAAGGGATCTATTAAGTACCATTCACAGAGCTTGTCTCCACAGGGCTGTGCCAGTTCATGACCTGAGGGTGCCGGGTCAACACAACCTACCATGATCCTTCACCAGGGCCTCCATCTCCTCTTGGATGCCCTTGTGCCACTCGGTGATGTCCACGTGCAGAGAGTAGTCACAGCAGGACTTGCTATCGGCCCATTCCCTCCACTGGTCGAAGGCAGCCAGCAGGCTTGTCCCAGGCTCTGGCACGACATGGTCAACTAGAAAAGAACAGATATTTGTCATCATCAACAAAAGCCTCCAGGGCCACAGGCCAACAGCTGTTTTCCCATTTCAACCCTGAACAAGCCTTCTTGGTTTCAAAGTCGAGATGGTGATCTCTACAATCAGCTTCTAAGAATCCACTTAAACCAGCTGACTACCCAAGAGGGAGAAAGCAGAAACTTGGCATGGCATGGTCAGTCCAGTGAAACCACGCATGAACTGCCCAGATCTGATTTCCCAGCTCAAAGCCCCTGAAAGGACACACCTTGGGCACATTTCTTGGACAATGAGTCATTATGGACAATGGCAGTGTCAAATGGCCAGCCCGAGCTGCCAAACCCTTCCTTGTGTTAATAGCTGCTTGTGAGACGCCCCCACCAGACAGCAAGGAACTTGAAGTTGCTGGACCCCAGCCACACAGACAGAGCCTTTTAAAAGATCCCCAGCATATCCACTCTCTCATCACCACTCGTATTTCTGCAGCATAATACCACTCTGCAAATTAAGGGAGAGCTTTCATCATAAGAGTTCAAAGTGTTTTAAAACTGTGGTCATTGTTATATTATTATTGAGCTCGGCTGATATGGAGACAGAGGACTCTGGAGTCAAGCTGACCTGAGGTTTTGGGTAAGCTACTTAACCTCCACTACCCCAGGTTTCTGTGCGGGTTTAAAATAGGGGTATTGCGTACCATACACATTTGCCGTGAAGATTAATTGAGACAGCGCATCAACCTTAAGTCACTCCCCTATTTAAATCTGCCAATGGCTTCCCTCTTGCTCAGCGGTTCTCAATCTGTGGGTCGCTACCCCTTTGGGGGTCGAACGACCCTTTCACAGGGGTCGCCTAAGACCATCAGAAATCACATACATAATTACATATTGTTTTTGTGATTGATCACTATGCTTTAATTATGTTCAATTTGTAACAATGAAATTGGGGGTCACCACAACATGAGGAACTGTATTAAAGGGTCGTGGCATTAGGAAGATTGAGAACTACTGCTCTTGCTCTTCAGATAAAGACTAAAATCCCCAATGCGGTCTGCATGCTCCTGCCCAGCTCGGCCCATGACTGCCTCCCCCACATCGTCTTGGAGCATCGCCCCTTCCCACACTGTTCTCACTTCCTAAAATATCAGCTGCTCCCTTCTGCCATGGGGCCCTTGCATATGTTGTTTCCTAGGTGCTGGAGAGCTTTCACCCAGTTAACACGGCAACGGGAAGTTTACCAGATCTATTATTCCTCATCTTCCACACAGACACACTAAATTTCAAAATGAAATGACTTGTCCAAGGTCAAATCAAACTTGTGCAGCAAAGAAGATAAAGCCCAGGACTCTTGACACCCTGAAGCAATGAATCATTCTTCTAAATAAAATATCAGATTTTCTACACCCAGGTAAGCAGTTCTCAGCTAAGAAAATGCCAGCCCAAGCAATGCTAGTGAGCTCAGATTTCTGAAATGGATCAAATCTTGCAGATGCTGCTAAATTGGAATCAACTGAGCTTGGCTCTGTACGTCTCAAAATGTGGGCAGGCGGGGGCGGGCTGGAGGGGGTCAATGGTGGGAAAAGGGGGACAAAGGTAATACTTTCAACCATAAAGAACTAGAAAAATAATGTGGGCATCTAAGCTGAATTTTCTTTTGACAATATTTACTTTCTATAAGTAGTAGTATATGCAATTAAATGGGTACATACATAGCTGGTACTATAATACAATGATATCTAATGAAAGCAATGAGGATGTGTGTACTTCTAATACAATCGTTCCATCTGTAAAATGCTAACAGAAACCCTGACAAAACAATTCCAGTATCTGTTCTTGTGTTTCCCTGCTTGGTAAGGAGGGCGGTAAGCAGTTTGGACAGAATCTCCCTAGTCACGCCCCACACCCCTGGCTTGATCTCTATCCCTCCTCCAAATCACTCTTCCTAAGCAGCCAGAAGGCTCCTAAACCTTTCATCAGGTCCTATCACTCCCTGATTAAATCCTTCAGAAACTGGCCACCATCTTCAGAGTAAATATTCAAGCTCTTCCCTGGGCCCTGTGCATCCAGTCCCGGCTCATCCCTCCACCCCCACCCCTCCATTCTGTCTGCCACCTGCCCCCGCTCTCCACCATCAGGCCACCCCAGCTGTTTTTTAGCCCCTGACCAGTCCAACCCCTCCCAAGCTCCAGGCCTTTGCGCAAGCAGTACTCTCTCCGGAAATCCATTCCCTTGCTCTTTAGTCAGGCATCTCCTCCTCCTCATGGGACTAAATGTCACCATCCCAGGACTGCATCCCATTTGCAGTTTCCATAATTTACTATCTCACTGCCCGCACGAGGTTCTACACGCATCACAGCAGGGAATACGTGCTTGGATACAGTAAGTGCTCAACAAATGTTTTCAGCAAATGAAGGACTGTTCCCCCCGACCCTGCAAGACCAGGTCAAACACAGAAGGAAGTGTTCTCCTGGGAACACATCCAGATTTTCCTGTGCAACCTCAAGAGTGTGTACGAACATCCTCAAATTCCAGGGTATATGAAAGCTTATTGAGAGCTTATTAAAGCACAGGTCCCTGGCCATCACCCCAGGGTTCCAGGTTCTGTGGGTCTGGGCTGGGACCTGAGAATGTGCATCTTTAATAAGCTCCCTGGGAGCTAACGAGTCTGCCTCCTCCCACCTGAACATCACTAAGGGGAGGTGGTTTCCCATTTACTTCTGCACCTCTATCCACTGTGCCCGTTTTACTGCACACAGCAGCATTATCCCTTACAAACACAGCGCGGTTCCCTGGCTGTCATACTGTGGCTTCCCTCCGTGTCCACAAACACTCCTGTAGTTGTGAACCCCTGAAAACTCAGGACAGATAAAGCTGAGGGCCTCAGAGGAATAAACACATTTCCTCCGGAGCTCATGACACTCAAGAAACGTGTCCACAAAAAGCTCCCACATGTTTTCCCACAGTTCTCCTTCCGTAGAAGCTCTCCCGGGAAGAGCTGGCCCAGGAACGGGCAGAAGGTCATGCTCACTTCCGGAGGGAGCAGATTCCCATTGCCTTCCCTCTGGTGACTTCTAGGCTATCTGTCCCCATGAGCGCGGCTTCTGCCTTGCAGCTGACTCCTCCCACTCCTGTAAGACGCGAGGGAAAGCTCGCCCGCCCAGCCTCCTGCCCCCCATCGCCCACCCAGCCCCCAGCAGTGAACAGAACACGGACCTGGGTTCAATGGGCCCGAGTTCAATTCGGGTTCTTGCTGCAGCACTCTCCTGCTGCACACGTCGTCTCTGGGAACTCTATTTCTCCGTATATAAAGCAAGGGCATGCAGCCACCTGGTGTGCAGGGCGGCAAGAAGTAAAAGCACCTGGCAAAGAGCTGCCACCATTTTCATGCCCCGGGTGAGCAATGGGAAACACCACAGAGGTGTCGGCAGCGAGCCCGTGAATCGGGTTTATGAGGGAGCCATCAACCTGCCCCAGGACCATGGCCTGAATTCAGGCGTGACAACCAGTGTGCAGAAGTACTTTTATCTAGAAGACACCAGCTATTTCCAAAGGACTGTGATTACTTCTCTTAAAACTGTCAAAAGACCCTAAATTTCTAACAGCTTTATTGAGATATAACTCCCACACTAAACAATTCACCCATTTACACGGAACCATTCGATGGTGTTCAGTCTAGTCACAGAATTGTGCAACCATCACCACCATCTATTTGTAGAGCATCACCCACAAAAGGGGAATTACCCAAAGAGGAAGCTCCGACCCATGAGCAGTCCTCTCTGGGCCCTCCTGGCACTGCCAGTCCCGGCTGCAGGCAACCACTGATTTGCTTTCTGACTATAGATTTGCCTGTTCAGGAAATTTCATACAAATGGAATCACACAAGATGTGGTCTTTTGTGTCTGGCTCCCCACACTTAGCATCAAGTTTTCAAGATCTATCCATGTTGTAGCGTGTGTCAGCATTTCATTCCTTTCTATTGCCTTGAGTGGTCCTGGAATCCTATTTTCTGTTTACTGGATATTGCAAGGTGTTAGACACGGAGCAAACAGGCTGCTCCCCTGGAATTTGTGGCATTTAAAGGACCCTGGCTTCTTACAACTTTTGTTTTGAGGTAATTGTAGACACACATGCAGTTGTAGGAAATGATACTGTGAGATCCTCAGACCCTGCACCCAGGGTCCCCCAGGGGTAACATCCTGCCCGACTTTAGAACAATATCACAACAAGGAGATCGACAAGACCCTACGTTTTTAAAAGGCCAGCAAAGCAGTTGGTATATCTGGTCAGCTCTCAAGGGGCCCTTTTTATTTAAAACATAGATGCTAAAAAGTCATCACCACTGTCCCTGTTGTGGGATAGCAGCGGCTGAGTGGGAACGTCTACTATGGGGTTAAGTATGTGGGGCAGAAAGAGGGGGGGGACTCCCTCCCACTAGGCCCCCACCCCCACGGCTCTGAAGCCTCACACAGTCACACACAGGGCTGTTCTAGGAACTCCTGTAAGTCAGCACACACACCTCCCTCGCTCCCTGGGCATTCACTTCGTCAGAAGCGCCCACGTCCTGTCTCCCTTTCCAGAATCATCACTGCCTCATTCTGTAGTCCCCCACTTACCAGCAGCCTCTCCCCTTTCATCTTAGATAAATGAACAGATCTGAATTCAGAGCAAACCATCAAGGAGATGGCAACACACACCACCGATGGCTTATCTGTGGCCCTCCCGCCCTGGCATCTATTCAGCAAAATGCCAGTGACCCATTCAACAGGGAAGGGCTTTGTTGGTGTGAGATAAGAGCCCTGGGGAGCCTGGCCTGCCAGTTGGGATAACATGGTTTTGTTCTGGAAAAAGGCAGGAAAGGAAGAGAAAGCACCTGTCCCTGGGAATATGCAGAGAACCTGCAGGTGAGTTCAGATGTGCGAGTGTCTGGCCAGTTCTGCCACTTACTCATTGTGTGGCTTTGGACAAGATGTTCAACCTCAGTGGCTTTCAGACTCCTCATCTGT